GGAATTACAATTCCTAGATAATATTTCCCACAATATTCATTATAATTCGATAAAATAGCTGAGCATAATGGACACAATTTAACATTAACTGTTGTCAAAAGTTTATATGCCTGAGTATCTGCACCACTTCCACTTGATTCTGTACTTCCTTCCCCACACCCCTTTTGTGCCATTGCAACAGTAAATTGTAATATAAATAACTTGCATATTCCTATTAATTTAATACATTTTCGAAAAGTCATATTATAGGAATAATTTATGGGTAAATTGAATAAGTTAGATAACGGCATGTGTCGGGAACAGATGTTACATTTTTTAAATTTTCTAGCAGTATCTAAGTAAATATTACTATTATGCGCACATAATATAGTACTTTTAATATATACTGATTGATATATCCTTCCATTGCATTTTTCGGATGATTTTTTATGGTTTTCTATGTTTTTCTTCATAATATTGTTTATATCATAATTTGTAATAATGTAATATTAGAGATGCTTAATTTACATTCATTTACATACATAATATTGGGCTCTAAAATGTATATACCTTATTTGAATTACAAAAAAAACCATTCGGCTAATGCATAATGGTGACTTTCTATAAAATATAATTAGATGTACCTACATGTACAGATTTTGTATAGGAAATCACATTGAATAATGCCTTATGTTGCAATCAGTATAAATAATGCATGACGTCTATTAATACTAAAGTGATAGCTATTTCGTAAATCCCATATCAGACTAATATTCCATTTTGTATTAGATAAGGAATGTTACAGAAATGACGTTTTAAATATAAAAGTTGTTTTGCGCTATAAATGTTTTCCAAAAGTATTTATATTATGCCTTTACTATTATACATTTTGAAATATGTCTTTCCATATAAATAAAATATAATATATGTAGGCTAAAATAATATTTAATTATACATTAATACTCCGAATTTTGCAGTCAATAAAAAAATTTTGCCATAAAAGAAAAAAAAATTATACATAAATAAATCATATATATAATTTTATGTAAAATGTTGTATTAAAATGCTGAACTCTTTTTATGCACTTCGCATCATGATGAATTTTATTCCTTTTTGGAAAATAAAAAAATAAATAAAACAACAATAATTGAAGTTTTAAAAAATTACATTTCATAAATTAATACCTCTAAAAAAAAATTACATACTTATTATATAACTAATTATATGTATATTTTGGATAAAATTGTGGAGATTTTAAATCATTACAAAATATTTTGCATAAACNNTTTTTGATAAAAAAAAAAATGTATAAAACAACAATAATTGAAGTTTTAAAAAATGACATTTCATAAATTAATACCTATAAAAAAAAAATACATACTTATTATATAAATAATTATATATATATTTTGGATAAAATTATGGTGATTTTTAAATCATTACAAAATGATTGCATAAACTTAAGGTATAAAATCATCTCAGGAATAGTAGATTCTACTAATATCTAAAATGCGTCATAAATAACATAATGTAATATTTAACATATATAAGTCAAATATATTGAAATAAAATAAACTAAATCAAAAAGATTTTTAAAAGCATTTTCTGAGATTTTTTTTTTCTCATTCATAAGATCTTTTCGTTTAAAATTTAAAAGATTCTTTTATATTTTCTTTAATTATGTATAATTTATGGTTTTGTCTACTGATAATATTTTTAAGCTTTGCAAATAATCAAGTTAATCAAAGTTTTATTAATAAAAATATTCTTATGTTTTTAAAGAAGGTGATTATAAAATAAAAAATATATA